CAGTGCACCAAGGAGGGGCTTTCCCTCCTTGGTGGCAGCCCCTCCTCTCCCCTCTAACCTATATATACATAAGATGTTGACCGTATTTGCTACACAACTTTTGGAGGCTACTCTAGTTCTAGTTCTAGTTGGTCCTAGTTGACTAATTAGAGTTAGACCTAGTTCCTCTAATCCTCATAATTAGAAGCCCAGTGTGGTTTTAATCTCCTCCCTCTAATTTTCTGGTGGCAATTAGCTCTGGACGGTGAAGTGCTGCCGGACCGTGAAGACCATACGCTTGCAACCAAGTAGAGAGGACGTACTTTCGGTCTTCGTTCGAGGGCGGCTTGCGGGATCTTCATCGACGGTTCGAGAGACTCCAAGTACAATCTACCCAAACTCGTCTTCTTCCGCTGCTACTTCGGAGTTGGTAACGATCGTTTATCCAAACCCTACATATGCATCTTCATATTGTTCCTGGTTGTTCGTAGAGAGATTTTTTTTGTTTTCTACTACGTTTCCCAACACTAAGGTAGTGCTATATTGTATTTGATCTTCGGATGTATACTTAAATTTAAAGCAAAAGATGGCCTGACCTCTCAAGAAATTGTTGTATGCAAATGAAAGTTTAGTTGTGCATCGTTGTTTTAGGAGCTCTTCACTCGTTGTGGAGCGAGGGTTGCAGTTGGACTCCTATATTGCTAGCTTTTCCATGGAAATGAATAATAGTGTTCTATATTTTGCATAACATGCATGTTGTATTGAGTTGAATTGCTATAAGTGATATCTCTTGTATTTGGAGTTCTCTTACTTGACTTATCTGATTCTGCATGATTCGTACCCAGTTAATTTATGCAATCTTTGCTCCAGACAATCTTGGACAGGACTGCCCAATAGACCAAACACAGCACACTCGCACACACTAGGACAGAGAAAGTTGAACATAGTAAGCACCAACTCCAAGTAAAATATTTGGCGCACAAAATATCCTTCAAGTAAAATCTCAAGAAAACATTGCAATTGAGGAAAATTCTAAGCAATATAGCTTGTGTTGACAGAGATAATGTATAAATATTATATAACATGTATCTATCAATAAAATTCAGTTTGCACAGTTGGTTATTGGCCATGCAACTGATAGCGATGGCACGAAGTACTGGAAACTGTTGAACACATGGGGGTCATGGTGGGACGAGCTGGTAACATGAGGTTTAACAGGTGTGGCCATCCACATGAGGGTCGAAGGTATTACAGAGGGTAATGGTTTCAGGCCTGTGCTTAGCAAGACAAGCAATCACCTCACTACAGGGTGTGGCCATCATTTGGTATTTTATGTCCAGAAGAATTTAATATGTGAATGTTGTTTATGATTGAGAACTTCTTGATTTTGTTGATTGGTCCATTGCCCCTGCTTTCCCTTAATGTTTTCATCCATGCTACAATGTCAGATGCGGTTCTTGCTGGGCAATTGTGGGAGTGAAGTCTATCGAGGCAGTTTATGCGATCAAGACATGAGTGGTTATGAATCTATCAATACAGCAGGTTATTGACTGTGCTGCGGTAGGGGGTAGCTTTGGTTCTAATCTAGTTGATGCCTACTACATCAAGGAAGGTGGCCTACTCACAGAGAAAACACAACATGACCCTCCATCTTTAGAAATTGCACATCAGGTTCATGAGGTCGCTCATGCTTTGCTCCCCTATTTGTACTAAGCATTTTTACCTCCTATTACTCACCTTCTCACTAAATATATGTTAGTTTCTAGTGATATGCCCACTAACATATAACTTATCTTGTTTAAACTCACCAGCGTAATTGACCGCTTATGTTGCCCAATATTAAATACATTGTTTTGTGTTAAACAATTCCAACGTGAATTAAAATTGTGTTCCAAGAAAAGTATGCTACTTGAGTTTTATCTTGCCACAATTTAAGAGAATCAATAGTTATACCAGGTTTGTCTCTATATCTAACCAAAGCAACTGAAGGTAAACAAAATCACATTTGCCCATGAAATAATTTGTGACACTTATCTACTGTGGCATGTTTGTCTGATTCAGTATCAAAATATCTCCGTACATGCTTGTAGAGCTTTCGAGTCTTAGATATATCTTGGTAAATGTTTGTTGGTTTGCTAATTCCAGGTTGAACCGATATAATGGACGTCATGGGAATGAGCGGGAAAAATAGACGATGGGTGAGGTAGGGTACAAGGGGTGGCAATGGTAGTCGCCTCCATGTTGCTTTCCGGTTGTTTGCTGGGTTAGGGTTACATGGGGATTTGCAGGAGGCAAGCAACCGAGGAGGCGATGGGAGGCATAAGCAACAAATAGGGAGGAGGAGAGCAGAAGGGGGGGGGCATGGGCCGTTGTTATGGGCGCCAGAGGAGGTGGCGGAGAGGACCTATTTCGCTGGGAGATGGGTAACAAATGAAGCGAATAAGTGTGGAGTAGGGGCGTTACCATCCCTACACAAAAATGAGCTGAAATGCTTATGCGTGATAGTCAATGTTCTTTCCTTAGGGGTGTGATGGCTAATATTCTTAAGTGACAACGAATGACATATATCTAAATATGTGATAATTACAACAGCATGTTTCAATTTATGAAAATAGTAACATCATTTCTCAAAACCAAAAAATGTAGTAGCTTATATCGAATTTAACTTTATTTTATTTTATCCATGTGCTCATGAGTTGGATGCTAATTCAGCTGATTGTCTACAAGGGCAAGGTGTGAGAACGTAATCATGAGGGTTTTCTATTAAACACATGTTGTGTGCATTAACGAGGTGACGCCTACAGGTCTCGTTAGTAGAATAGGGTTTTCCCCTAGCGACGGCTAGAGTTTCTTTTGTCTAGGCGATCTGATCGCCCTGAGTTTTGCATCTTTGACGGCTCCTCCACCATCCATCACCCTCAGTTTATTAAATGAGTTGTGTTGGGTGTTGGTTCTTGCCCACGTGGACGTAAACAGACACAACTGAACGAAATGGGTCTCCCCTTTGGAGTTGCCCTTAAGCGCCAACAGGTGGCCATCCGCTACGGAGGATACCGCTGGTGAGTGACTCAATAGAAACCAGGTCGCGACTCACATGTAGTGGGCCCCGATATTAGCAGGCCGTGCGGAATGCATCCATTTCCAGTTGGCCCACGATCTAACCACTTTATTTCGATATTTCGATTGAAAAATGAACAACACCAACTCGACCAACATCATAGCCGAGGCCATCCCAATATACTCTATGTCATGTTTTAAACTACCAAGAGGATTATGTGATCATATAAAGTCAATTATCCGGAAGTTTTGGTGGGGCTGCAAACAGGGACAAAGAAAGCCGGCTTGGGTCTCCTGGGATGTAATGATGAGGCCAAAACAGTTGGGAGGATTGGGTTTTAGAGACTTGGAGCTTTTTAACCTAGCCTTGCAGGCCTGACAAGCTTGGGGACTCCTTAATGAACCGACCACACTGAGTGCCAGAATACTCAAGGCAAGTCATTTCCCCGATTCCTCATTGTTAGATGCTCAATTGGGAACTTGTCCCTCTTAGATTTGGCGAGCAATACTCGAGGGAAGAGATGTCATGAAGCAAGGTATCATTAGGAGGATCGGGAATGGTCAGACGACAAATATCTGGATAGACAATTGGATACCAAAAGAACATACACCACGGCCCATCACTTCCCTCGTGCAAAACCCTCCAACGACGGTGGCGGAGATGCTACAGCCAGCCACCAGATCATGGAACGAAGGGTTGGTCCAGTCGGTGTTCATACGCTTGGATGCGGATGCCATTTTGAGAATCCCGGTTTGCACATGCAACATTGATGACGTCTGGGCATGGTATCCAGACAAAAAAGGGAGGTTCACTGTCAGCTCAGCTTATAGATTCTTGGTTAGCACCAAGCTGCAGCGAAGAGTGGCTAGAGGGCAGAACGAGATCATCTTCGGGACAGGAGGAACAAAGGGCCTTGTCGGCTCTATGGAAAATTTCAATACCTTCAAAGATCAAAGTTTTCATGTGGAGATTAGCACATCATTCGCTGCCTACCACGGATGTGCTGCATCACAGAAACATGGCAATCCAAAACACATGCCCTGTATGTGGGTGCTAAGACTCATGGTGTCATGCGTTGATATCCTGTACCATGTCGAGGTGTGTGTGGGCTCTATCATACACAGATGTGGTGCAAGCGATGTCAGAACTAGAAGAACCAAGTGCGAAAAGGTGGTTGTTTGAATTACATTGCAAGCTTGATCACTCCAAGTTCACGGCAATGGCTGTCACATTATGGGATGTTTGGTATGCACGGCGGAAAGCTGTGTACGAAGCGATCTTTCAAGCGCCGCAGCAAACCATATCTTTTGTGAACAATTTCATAGCAAACTTGCATCAGCTCCAAAGGGAACCAGTGGTGGCTAGCCCAACAACAACGGTGGTCTGGCCACAACGCTGGCTTGCACCCGGGTCCGGTGCTGTCAAAATTAATGTCGATGGAGCGCTGGCGAGGAATATGCATGGTGGAGCAGTGGCAGCTCTCTGTAGACACGAGAATGGCAACTACTTGGGGTCCTCGGCAGTGGTCTATGGAGGGATCACCGACCCCATGATGCTAGAAACATTTGCATGCAGGGAGGGACTAGCTTTGGCAGATGATCTGGATGCTCACGACGTGGTGATGGCTTCGGATTGTGAGGGCGTAGTCAATGACATCAACAGAGGGACAAGTGGTCCTAACACGGCTATTACACATGAAATATTAGCTCGTAGCTCTAGTCTCTCATCCTGCAAGTTTATTTTTGAGCGTAGAAATTTCAATTTTGAGGCTCACAATCTCGCAAAGCATGCATGTAATCTAGGCATAGGTAGATATGTGTGGTTGGGCACTCCTCATGACCCAACTATTGTACCTATGAACATTACTCTTATTCAATAAAGCATGCGAGATTTCTCAAAAAAAAATGTGCCAAGTTAAAAAAAAAACAACACTTGCAGTCTATAAAAAGCGACATAATAATCACTAAGCCTTGGATTGACCAAATATCCTGTTGAGCGTAGCCGCCAATCGGACGCCGCCTTGCGCCAGCCTCAGGTTCACCACCGGCAGCCTGCTCCCGCTGCAGCCGACAAATGCAGTGGTCATTTTTTTACTTATTACTCCGATGTCAAATGTTAGTTTGACCGGATATACTGCAATTATACATACCGCCCACCATCGAATCTTCCGTCGCGTCCTTGTACGCCGAGTCGCATGCTGCGGTGATGCTCTCCGACCCATATCTTCGCAGAGTTAGAATGTGATCGATCAAACCCTTAAATGCGATATTCTGGAATACTAATAACTGTTCGTACAATAAATACGAGTACTTATTTACGCACTCCTAATTATACACAACTGAATAAATATTGAAGATTTCCTTATTTATTTTTTTTCTTTGTAAAAAAAACGCAGCCAAGCAAACGTACATGTCAGGACACGCCGTCTAGTTCTTGCCGTAATCCTCCCATCCGTGCACTTTGCCTGACCAAGCCCCCTGCAATCAGTATATCGATCAGCCCCCTGCAATCAGTATATCGATCAGCGTCAGTTACCACAAAATATCATAATTACAAATCACATGACCATCTGATGAACCAGCTACATATAGATCAGATGAAAAATTATTCAGAACAATTTCACAAAAAAAAAATCACACCTTTATGCTCTTGTTCAGCGCGTCCACGAATTCGCCCGTGCCTCCGTCGTAGTAGTCCTTCACCGCCGCCCGGATGATGTTCACGTGATCACGTCCCATACCTGACAACATACATCAACCAGAATGTAGAGTTTCAGCATTACTGAAATGCATCAACCAGAATGTAGTACTCCATCCGCTCCAAAATGCTCCCTCCGTTTCAGATTATTCGTCGCTGAAATGGATGTATCTAGAACTAAAATACATCTAGATACATTTATACGTGCGACAAGTAATTCGGAACGGAAGGAATAAAAAGTTAAACTCCCTCCATTCTAAAATAGATGACTCAACTTTATACTAACTTTCTATTTTCATCTATTTTGGAACGGAAGGAGTACTACATAACAGGGGTCAGTCTGAGGTCTGAACTACATGAGGCTTACATGGCGGAGGAAATTCTTCCTTCTGTACCAGAGTACCAGTGGACATCGGTGGTGTTCCCCCCTTTGTCACAGGCAAACTGTTACGGTCTTCTACCTCAACTAGTTCGAATCCATGGCGATACAAGGGAGAGGGGAATGGGGATCTAGATCAGAGAGAGCCAGAGAGGTATGGTTCGAGAGGAGGATGACATGGGAAGGGGAAAATTACAGCCAAGTATTTTCTCGTTACCCCTCTCCACCGAGTTGACACGTGGCTGGGTCAAACTTGCGGTTGGGCCGTTTGGATCGCTTGGGCCGGCCTGCTCCGCCATCTTGGGGTCCTGGTGGTACTTGCGTCCGCGACGCACAGGGGACGCACCAATTGGGCCGGCCCTTGGCAGATACCGCTGGTCTGTAGCGCAACAGGTAAAAATAAGGAGAAAGAAAGCTCTCCAAAGGAATCGAACTGCAGACCTCTCAGTGACGAGGTCCTGTTGAATGCCACACGTGCTGATGATTCTTAGTGACCAATTTGCAGCGGTAATGCCTAAGAACAAACAAAAGTGCCAGAACTCTAACATATTTTGATTTTATTCGAACAAATCTTGGAAATTATAAACAATTTTCTAAAAGTGAAGTAATGTTTCGAAGTTTGAATATTTGTCAAACAACACAAACAAAAATTTGAAACTCCAATTTTTTTTAATATGTGAACAAGTTTAAAAACAGGAACACATTTTGAAAATTTCTGAACAAAATTTGAAAACGTGAACATTTTTTTTGAATCTGTGAACATTTTATGAAAAATGCGAACAATTTTTTGAAAAATACGAACAATTTTCGAAAAATAGGAACAAATTTGAAATTCCAAAACTTTATTGAAAATTTGAACAAATTTGAAAGCACAAACATTTTTTGAAATCACGAACAAATTTTGAAACTGCGAAGAAATTTTCAAAATACAACAAAAATTTGTACATTTTTCGAAAAGAACAACATGTCTTTTTAAAACCTGAACAAATAAATTTGTACATTTTTTCAAGCCGAACAAAGTATTGAATATATTGAACTTTTTCTGAAATTGTGATTTTTCTAAAGCAAAAATAAATGAAAAAAAGAAAAAGAATAACGAAATGAAAAACACAAAAAAAGAAACAGATAATAGCCAATCTCTTGCTTGTATAGGACACTAGTGTTGTGAAGCTCTAGTGTGCTAGCAACACAGTCGAGG